AAACAGAACAATAATAAAAATAATAAAATACAGAGGATCCAGAAAGTAAAACGATAAAGTAAGAATACAAAAAAAACCATAGAAGACAAAATATGTTTTTAAAAATATTCTGTTCTGACGTGGCACGCTCCTGATGATGAAATGCGGTTAGCATTTGAAACCGGTTGAGCCAAAATAAAATTATCCATGAAAATACACATAGTTTATGTTTTTATGTTATTATCTTATAACTAAATTTCCTAAGTGTCTAAAACTGATTTAGCAAGTAGTTGACCTTTTTAATGTAACATATCCTGATCGCCAACTCATTTGCCAAAGTATGGTAAGCCTAGCTGTGATTAAATTTACAAAGCATGAATATCTACGAGATTTCTCGAAGTCTGGCCGACCAAATGTTTTCCGGGAGATTCAACAAAACAATTGGGTCGAATTTGGCACAAAATTTTAAAAACCGCAAAATATCATTCCCATAAAGTAAACCTCATTGACGAGCAATGAGTCGTAACTTTTGTAACAACAATTTGGAACGACAACGAAGGCTTTGTCAAGTTTTTTCCGGCGAGGAAACATTTACATTGAGTGGACAAGTAAATAGTTAAATTGTCGGATCCTTACTTTTTTGATTTTTTCAAAACATCATTCCTACCATAAAAGCCTCATCTCGATAATGTTGACCCAACTCAATTCCAGCGGCAGTTATTGCAACAATATGGCGTGCTAGCACACTTAGGAAATTGTTTAAAATAAATAGTTACCATAGTTACTCATGGCTACTGCAATTTTTATCATGTCTAGCAACTTTAAACATTGATTGTACTAGATTCAGAAAAAAAACCTCTTTCATATTCCGTAATAACAATGGGGGATTGCCATTTGAAAAAAACATCGATGACGTCATAACTCGTTTAAAAAGACGGAAAAAAATTAAAATCTACACCAAAAAAATACAAAAAATTTAAATGTTTAAACCTGTTTACGGGATTTTTCCATAAACCATTTAGAATGATTTTATCGTCTATATCCGCTGCTTTACGGACGCACTGTATACCGCCGTATTTTCTTACATTTTTATTAATTAATATCATAAAAACTAAAAATCTATGTAAGTGAAAGCCTTCGCTTTCACGGCCGGTTAATTAAATTAAAACTAGAACTAACACTAGCACTATCACTGAAACTAACTCTAGACAAAAAGCGTTTCTGAAATAGACAGGAAAGTTGTGGTTCTAAAATCTGCTTAAAAAGGATTAAGTTCGTTAACTTCGTATTTGTTTTTGAAGAAGGTTGCAACATGGCATCCGGAACGTCAAACTTTTTTTCAAAAGGCGCACGGCGTAACCCTAAAGTTTCTAGTTCTAGGTGTAGTGTTAGTTCTTGTGATAATACTAGTGTTAGTTTGAGTTTTAGTTTAATAAAAAGCTGTGTTTCCAGTTATGAAGGTATCTGGAATCGTTTTCAAATTAGAGGGGGGTTTACTTATGACCCGTACTGTATATAAAATGTAAAATAATGGCACAAAAATAAGATTATATACGAATTGGGAGGTAAATTTGAAAAAAGGTTAATAGCAGTTATGATACCATCTGTGCCAAATATTTGTACGAAGAAATAGAAATTTTAGTAACATGTTTCCTTAGACCGGTGTGAAAACAGCACGCCAAACATAGCAACCTGTTTTACCGAAGACATCCGAGTATACGCTAAAGTCGGTTTTACACGATCATTTTTAGGTAAAATAAAAAGTATAACCCCACGTAAACGAGATTGTGCTCCGCGAATCTGACTGCTGTAAAGTGTATCTAAAACTACCCCTTTTGAAATAGAGTGGTTAGATTTTGTTGCGGTCATTTCCTAAAGAAGCTTTTAGCCACCCCCAAGAAAAAAAATCCTCACGTGTAAACGAGATTGTACTCCGCGGATCTGATGACTGTAAAATATATCTATAATTACCCCCTATGAGATAGCATGCCCAGATTTTCTTGCAGTCATTTCCTATGGACGGTTTTAGCCACCTCCTAAAGAAAAAGATTCGCAGGTAAACACAAATGTGCTCCGCGTATCTGACTACTGCTAATTGTATCTAAAATTATTCTCTATAAAATAGCGTGGCCAGATCTTGTTGCACTCATTTCCTAAAGATGGTTTTAGTCACACCGAAACATAAAATATTCGCCACAAGTAAACGCAAATGTGCTCCGCTGATCTGGCTACTTAAAATTGTATCTGAAATTATTTTAATTTTGATTACTTTAAATATGAGGACATGGAACTCTTTCACAAATGTGATAGAGATTTTAAAATGGACCTGGAACTGTTCGAAATTAAGAAACACTGACAATGAATTGTTTAATTACCAAACAGATCAGGTCATAATAAACTTATTATCGTTGTGCGCTGTCTCGTATCTATCCATCGGCATCGTAATCTTTTATCTTGTTTCTGTGGTATGTTTTACATTATTTCGGTTTTTATTTTTTGTGCTTTATTTTATTAACTAATTTTGTCTCTATTGACAAATTACAGCTATACCTTGGATATTATTTGTTTCATACTCGTATATTAGGTTTTACTTTATTTACTTAACTTGTGCACAAATCACGTGTTTTTCTTGATTGACGGGAAAACCGTCTTTAGGAAATGAGTGCAACAAAATCTGGCCACGTTATCTTATAGAGAATAATTTTAGATATAATTAGTAGTAATCAGATACGCGGAGCACAGTTGCGTTTACTTGTGGCGAATTTTTTTCGTTTGGGGGTAGTTAAAACCGTCTATAGGAAATGAGTGCAACAAGATCTGGCCACGCTATCTTATAGAGAATAATTTTAGATACAATTAGCAGTAATCAAATACGCGGAGCACATTTGTGTTTACTTGTGGCGAATTTTTTTCTTTAGGAGGTGGCTAAAAGCGTCCATAGGAAATGACTGCAAAAAAATCTGGGCACGCTATCTCATAGGGGGTAATTATAGATATATTTTACAGTCATCAGATCCGCGGAGTACAATCTCGTTTACACGTGAGGATTTTTTTTCTTGGGGGTGGCTAAAAGCTTCTTTAGGAAATGACCGCAACAAAATCTGACCACTCTATTTCATAAGGGATTTTTTTAGATATACTTTACAGTAGCCAGATTCGTGGAGCACATTCTCGTTTATGTGGGGTTATACTTTTACCTAAAAATGATCGTGTAAAACCGACTTTAGCGTATATTCGGATGTCTTCGGTAAAACGGGTTGCTATTAGAGCTTGCATTACCGGGATCCCGGGATCCCGAAAACCGGGATCCCGGACAATTTTTGTCCGGTATTAAAAACCGGTATTATATATAAGTGAAAGACAACATAACAATAATGGTATCCAGACCTTTAAGTTTATTGGTACTTTGTACAGATTCCTAATATCTTTCCATTTTTTGATTATCTTCTCAGATTCTGTATCTTATGTTTTGATTATCTTTTTAATTGTTAATATATTAAGTTAATATATGTAGTTGTTAATTAGATATATCTATCTAGTGATTGTAATTTAGTGAGTAAACTTTTTTATAGTAATACCGGTATTAATACCGGTATCCCGGTTTTAAAAATTTTGAATACCGAATACCGGTATTGAGATTTTGGTCCGGTATTTCAAGTCCTAATTGCTAAGTTTGGCGTGCTGTTTTCACACCGGTTTTCCTTAGTATGAATGCCCCATAGTATATTTTTATTTTTGATTTATTTAAGATGCTTCCAAATGATTACAAACTTTGGCAGTGAGTGTTGCATCACAAGAGTGACCATTTTTAATGGTTAAAATAATAAAAAATATTCAAGAAAATTTTGGTTACATGAACGAGATTTTTAGACGTACAGAGTTGGGTTTTTTGTTTGTTGTTGACGCAATTTTTGTGGGATAGGTTTTGGACTAGGGAGTGTCCAAAGTATGTGTTCAACGTATAGAGTAAAAAATTTACTCCATACGTTGAGATAGCGATTTTATTTTCCTTTGTTTCAACGATGGATTTTAAAGGATTTTAAATTCGTTGAAACCGGTGATTACCACGATGTTTAGTGGTTAAGACCGTTATAGGAGTAAACTTGCTTTCACATAAATTTCAAATAAGTCGTTGCGCGTTTAAAAACGTGTCTACTTTATTGGAATTATCCTATTGTTTTCGGAATTTTTATTGGAACGGGAATTTCCTAATTGCCTTGAGACGGATTTGAGGCTGGTTTTAGTACTTTATTTTGAAGAATTTTCAGGTGTATCCGGATTTAAAAAAGAACATATTCTTTTTTAAGCAGATTTTAGAGGCACAACTTTCCTGTCTATTTCAGAAACGCTTTTTAATTGAAGTATAATTAAAAATGTGTACTTATCCATATCATAAATTGAACAATATTTAGAAAGGTTATAATGAGAAGAAAGTTTGTTACTTTTTACAGCTTGAAATTGGCTGATTTATTTGTATTAGAAACTCTATTTATAAGATCATTAATAAGTATAACTGAAAAATAATTTTGATAATTTGAGACATAATAATTAAATTCGTTTCTTATTTACCTTATTATTGAGGTAACAAAGATAATTATAAATTCTATTGACGAAGATCTCGTAACCCGTTAAAGGTTATCTGTCTATTTATCTCATTATTTTTTTTTTACTTTTACCAACCTATAATTTTCGTATGAAAGTCCCGTGAATAATTTTCACAACATTCTCAAAATATCAATAACACATCCGTGTGTTCCATGTGTATAAGTGTTAAGTTCATGCGTAAACAAATTCATGCAGATGTACTCGTTGCAGGAAACGTTTACTAAATCATAAAAAAGCAAACTATCCGGATTGTCTAATAATAAGTTGTTAATCATTTATCGCCGATTACGTAACGTTGGCCCGTGTCTGAACGCAAGTTCACGACATTAACATCTTCTTTCTATTGTTTCACCGCTTGTTGGAAATCCTGCACATTGCGCAACGACTCAGGGCCTTACTAATCGTATAAAAACTGCACACGAACAAATTAACACATCAGATGCGCTAAAGATGCGTTTCTTGTTGGTGTGCAGTTTACTTTTCCTTGGCTCGCTACGAGCTCAAGAGAACACAGGCGAAGAGGGTATAGTTTGTTTTTGAACGCTAGATAATTATCCGAATGATACTAATTTTTTTTTAGAGGAATCTAAAGATTTTCGAAAACTGCGAGATAATGGTTTATTAATATTAACAGTTTTACCAAAAACTCAAGATTTAGACAATTCCGCAGATTTGAAGAGGGTGAGAAGGTCGTCATATGGTGGTGGATATGGCGCAGCCAAAGGTTACGGAGGAGGATATGGTGGCGGTGGAGGAGGTGGCGGTGGCGGAGGTGGAGGTGGATTTGGAGGTGGATTTGGAGGAGGTGTTGGGGGAGGAAGTGGGTTTGGAAGTGGACTTATTGGAGGATTACTGGGAGGTTTAACAGGCGGTGGAAAAGGAGGTCTAAGCGGTGGGGGAGGTTTGGGCGGCGGCGGCGGCCTGGGCGTCGGCGGAGGTCTAGGCGCACATGGAGGTGGTGGATTAGGAAGTGGAGGTGGATTAGGAAGCGGTGGTGGATTAGGAAGCGGTGGTGGATTAGGAAGCGGAGGTGGATTAGGAAGCGGCGGTGGAGGTTTAGGCGGTCATGGAAGCGGTGGTGGATTAGGAAGTGGGGGTGGGTTAGGTAGTGGCGGTGGTCATGGAGGTGGTTTGGGCAGTGGTGGTTTTGGAGGTGCTGGAGGAAGCGGTGGTGGTCTTGGAAGTGGTGGTTATGGAGGAGGCATAGGAGGCGCTGGAGGAAGTAGTGGAGGCCTAGGAGGTCATGGGGGTGGATTGGGAAGTGGCGGCGGTTCAGGAGGTGGTGGTGGTCTCGGAAGTGGGGGAAGTGGTGGTTTTGGAGGAGGGCTTGGAGGATCTGGAGGTCATGGAGGAGGTTCTGGCGGTGCTGGAGGATATGGTGGAGGCATTGGTGGTGCTGGGGGAGGCGGTGGGTTAGGAAGCGGGGGTGGATTAGGAAGCGGTGGTGGCGTTGGAGGTGGGGGAAGTGGTGGTTTTGGAGGTGGCCTTGGAGGAGCTGGAGGAAGTGGTGGAGGTCATGGCGGTGGATTAGGAGGCGGTGGTGGTCTTGGAGGTGGCGGAAGTGGTGGTTTTGGAGGTGGCCTTGGAGGAAGTGGTGGAGGTCATGGTGGTGGATTAGGAAGCGGGGGTGGATTAGGAAGCGGTGGTGGCCTTGGAAGTGGCGGAAGTGGTGGTTTTGGAGGAAGCTTTGGTGGAGCTGGAGGTCACGGAGGAGGTTCTGGCGGTGCTGGAGGATATGGAGGTGGCTTGGGTGGAGCTGGGGGAGGCGGCGGATTAGGTAGTGGGGGTGGATTGGGCGGTGGAGGTGGAGGTGGATTAGGTGGCGGTGGCGGCCATGGGGGAGGCGGAAGTGGTGGTTTTGGAGGTGGGGGTAGTGGAGGTTTCGGGGGAGGCCTTGGAGGTGCTGGAGGACATGGTGGTGGAGGCGGAGGACATGGTGGTGGAGGCGGAGGACATGGTGGTGGAGGCGGAGGACATGGTGGTGGAGGCGGAGGAAGTGGTGGCTATGGAGGTGGTGGATGCTGCGGGGGACATAAAGGTGGATATGGAGGAGGTAAAGGAAAAGGTGGTGCTTGGGCAACATCATCGAGTTCAGCCGGAACATTGTAAGCAGTTTGATATATACATACATATAGCCGGAGTATTTAATCTTGTTTGTTTTAGCCGAAAATAAAAGAAGAGCAAGAAGAGTTTTTCTACCAGAATTGATATATGGTGGTCTTCAAATTAATGTGTATATAGCCTAGACTTTTCCAATTTAATAAAATACTGGTATAAACCAGGAGTTAAATCTGATGCCAATTAAATCATATTAGAATAAATATCAAAACGATTCAACCAAACTCCCAAATCCTACCCAAACTTAAAGCTATTAATAGAAAGAAACATTCTTAGTTAGATCAATACATGATGTCATAATAGTTATAAAGTTTGATATACTGTATTATTTTTTTTCTTTCTTTTTCAACCGCTACTTTCAATCAATAAAACGTTATAGATTTCTTTGTAACAACAGATGTTACTGCAAATTTATAATTATTAAACATCAAGTATGGTCAGCAAATAGAGTCAGTATTATATTAATATTAAAAGAATATACGTAAGTAAAAATATACTCATGTGCATTTCAATTAATTGGTAAGTATATATAAAGTTATTTCATCCTGAGAAAAAAATGAAAAAACGTTGTCTAGAACTTTGACTAGCTCCCATATTTTGAATAATTAAATTTTCATTGTTTTGGTTATTGTGTTAGCTCTAACATCAATAAATTTTGAATGCGTATTCTTATAAATGAGTATTGAAAATTGATGCATATAATATTCGTTTTATATGCCGTTTTATTAAAGGAGTGCTATTAAAACGAAATCGTTAATAACGTTGCAACAACTTATTGCAAAAAAAGGTTTTGCTGTTTATTTTAGGTTATGTTATGTAAATGTAAATTACAACTATATAATGTATAATTAATGTAATAAAAATATAATTTATCAAAACAACAAATACGAGTGAGATATGGCATCGTATGCGAAAAAGAATTCAAAAACAAAATGACTCGGTAATGCGGTACTATTATGATAAGTATACACTTTGCGAAGCATCACATTTAAATACTAATGAGATAAACGAGGGTTTTCAATCAAGAATAAATTTCAAGGCAACGGAGACGGATTATTAAGCCAACAAACTATAAATTAAAACCTTCCGATAGCAAACTTAGATAAACACCTACAAAATATAATTAAATTAGAAATTAATAAAAATATAATGCTAAATTCATTACGACATTAAATTTGGTAGTTCGAGCTTTCAGCTCAAATGATGAGTGATAACTTCAGAACAAGTTTTACAGGTTTCTGAAAATTCAAAACATAATACGGTATAAAACATTGTTTAAACTTATTAAATGTGGAGATATCGGAGATATTATTATTATGTGAATTATACAGGGTGTCACACAAAAAACGCCGCAAGCTGTAATTCTGTCATTTACATTCCGATTTTCATGAGCGAGGTATCAAATGAAAAGGTTTGCTGAATACTATGATTCATGCTACAAATAAACTTTTTCCAACGCCATCTTCAATTTCAAGCGATTAACAACTTTTGATTTTCAAATTGCTCGGTATGTTTTTCATCACGTTATTGGATAGAGATTTTTTTTCTGAACCCATTGATATACAATAGATTAACATTAATTGTAATTTTAGCAGAGAAAAACAATTAAAACATTTTCCGAACATTGTCTCTAGTGTGCCATAGAAAAAAATAACGTGCAAAACTGATAACAGTCATTAAATGTTATTTCAATGCCCGAAGCAGTTGTAAATAATACTTATAAGTTGTTTTTTTTTATTTTTTCCCATGGCACACTGCAGTATACCACAAGTGGCTTTAAGAGAATGTTCGGAAACTATTTTAATGTTTTTCTCTACTACAATTATAATTAATGTTGATGTATTGTACATTCATGGATTCAGAAAAAAAATTTCTATCCAATAACGTGAAGAAAAACTTACCGTGCAATTTGAAAATCAAAAGTTGATAATCGTTTTAAATTGAAGATGGCGTTGGAAAAAGTTTATTTGTAGCATGAATCATAGTATTCAGCAAACTTTTTCATTTGATACCTCGCTCATGAAAATTGGAATGTAAATGACAAAATTACAGCTTGCGGCATTCTTGTGTGACAACCTGTATCTACAGGTGTCTTTTCTCTGCTAAACTTACATTCAAAATGGATGTATTGTACATCAATGGATTCAGAAGAATAATCTCTATCAATATTGATATCCTAGATTTAGGGAATGGACTTTGTTGGCATGACGCTACATATGTATTCCAATTATCATACTGCTATTAGCGCTGTTAAGCCCTAAACTGCAAAACTACAAAACATTCCTATAAGGCCAATAATAAGTTCTGTAGATTCAAGTACATATAAAACATAAAAATTCCTTGTCAATTACTTTAAACGCCATATATCCTTCCAACCTTTGAAAAATTAAATACTATCACTTTGCCAAAAGATAATAAAATCTTCTCTTTTAACATTACAAACCTCTATACGGGTATACCTGTAAAAGAGACCCTCGCCTTAATTCAGGATATCCTTGATCAAAAAATAAAGGATAAACATGAAAAAACGAACGTCATGAAAATATTTAAAATATGCTAAAAAATAAATTAAATATATAAAATATATTAATTGTCAATATACAGGTCCGTTACTAATGGGACACAGAGCAACAGTGAATTCCTTACATTAAATTATTACGATTTAACCCAATTTATGTTAGTCCAATTGTTAATAACAACGAAGATACAGATGGTTAAAGTTAATACTTTATTTTCGTTTTTCTTTAATAATTTCGTTGTCTCTTACATTATGAACATGAAAATTGGTACATTATCATTTTTTAATACAATAAATAATAATTTGGTGTTAGTTTTGATTTATCTTTCAGATGGCGCTGTCTACCTTAAAAAACCACCCTTAAAGTAGTCATATCTTTTTCATCGTTAAAATTTTTACAACTCACATAACATAAAACAGTTTCTCAGACATTTTTACATAAATTTGGTATACCTATCAATATTCTCTAAAGTTCTCCGTTCCCGAGATAATCACTGTTTAAGGGCACTTTGCAAAATTTAATATCTCAGTAACATCAGTTGGCGTTGACAAAGTTTTTATTTAGTCAAACACTAGACAATCAGTTTGACATTCAGTTTCATTTTACGCTCAGTATTATTGTAATCAATGTATTTGTTACTTTGAAATAATGCCCCGGCATAATTTTTTTTCTAACACGGAAATGCGTGATATGGTGTGCATATACGCTCAAGAAAAGTTTAATGGAAGGGAAGCGTGCAGAAGATATTTATTAAAATACCCCAACAGAAGACAACCAAATCACAAGTTATTTAAAAATTTGTATGACCGCTTAGGTGAGACTGGTTCATTTCGTCCTAAACGAAATACAGGTCGTCCAAAAAAGATTTCCGTTGATGAAGAAGATGAAGTTTTAGTACGAGTTAGTAACAACCCAAAAGTTAGCTCTAGACGTTTGTCAGCTGCAACCGGGTTAAGCAAGTCGTCAATTCTACGAATATTAAAAAAAGAAAGACTGTATCCATACCATTTTGTACCTGTACACGCCTTACTGCCTACTGATTTAAGAGTTCGGTTAGAATTTGCTAATTTTATCAAAAATCGGCAAAATTCTGACCCATCGTTTATTGCCAACATTTTATTTACTGACGAGGCGACATTCACTCGTAGTGGGGTTTTTAATTTTAAAAATTATCATGTTTGGGAAACTGAAAACCCACACATGACACGGCAACGGCATTTTCAACATGAATTTAAAATAAATGTTTGGTGTGGAATAATTGGAAATTATGTGTTGGGTCCGCGGGAATTACCAAATAATTTGAACGGCCACAATTATTTACAGTTTTTGCAAAACCAAGTAGACGATATGTTGGCTGAGTTACCATTAAATATTTGGACTGTCATGTGGTTTATGCAAGATGGAGCACCACCCCATTTTTCCAGGCAAGTGCGAGATTATCTCGATATGAATTTTCCACGAAGATGGATTGGCCGAGGTAGTCATTACACTTGGCCACCACGAAGTCCCGATTGTAATCCTATGGATTTTTGCGTATGGGGATTTGTAAAATCCCTTGTTTACAAAGACAATCCTGAAACTCGTGAGGAACTGTGGCAAAAAATTGTAAAGGCAGTGGATATCATTAGGAATGAACAAATATTATTTAACATAAGAAGATCATTTTCTAAACGGATTGGAAAATGCATTGAAGCTAACGGTGGTCACTTTGAACACTTACTCTAATGCAGTTCATTTTAATTGTTATTATTGTTTCCTCTTTTTGTTCGATGTTATTATTATTAAAATGTTTAAATAAATTATAGTCGTTATTAAAATCGATTTTTAATATAGTAATTATGTTAATATTTTTGTAACATCAACTTATGTTTGTGGATAGTTAAATTATATCTGAAAGATAGATCAGAACTATACTAATTTATCATTTATCATCTTAAAAAGTAATAATATAAAAATTTTAATGTTCATAATTTAAGAAAAAGCGAAATTATTAAAAAAACAACGAAATTAAAGTATTAACTTTAACCAACTCTATCTTCGTTATTATTAACAATTGGACTAAGATAAATTGAATTAAATCGTAATAATTTTACGATTTAACCCAATTTATCTTAGTCCAATTGTAAATAAAGACTTTTTCACCGCCAACTAATGTTTATTGAGCATAGTGAAATTTTGCAATGTGCGCTTAAACAGTGATTATCTCGGGAACGGAGAACTTTAGAGAATATTGATAGGTATACCAAATTTATGTAAAAATGTCTGAGAAACTGTTTTATGTTATGTGAGTTGTAAAAATTTTAACGAAAAAAAGATATGACTACTTTAAGGGTGGTTTTTTAAGGTAGACATCGCCATCTGAAAGATAAATCAAAACTAACACCAAATTATTATTTATTGTATTAAAAAATGATAATGTACCAATTTTCATGTTCATAATGTAAGAGACAACGAAATTATTAAAGAAAAACGAAAATAAAGTATTAACTTTAACCATCTGTATCTTCGTTGTTATTAACAATTGGACTAACATAAATTGGGTTAAATCGTAATAATTTAATGTAAGGAATTCACTGTTGCTCTGTGTCCCATTAGTAACGGACCACCCTGTATAGAGATAATAAAAAGGTTTGTTAAACTGTTAAAACATATCACGCATAATTTTAATAAAATCCAAATGTATATGATTTGTTTAGACACCAGATGCAGAAGATAAATCGAATGAAAAGGAAGTTTCGTATAAAATGTTCAAGAAAAATTACCTTAAAGTTCCATAATTTACAATTCAATTAAGACAGAAAAATAGCAGTAGTCAAGATAACCAACTGTTTCAGATTTCAAAAATTAATCATTGTCTTAATAAAATATCTGAAACAATTGATTGCCATAGTTCCGCATGTCTATTATTATTTTTTTTAAGGTATCTTTTCTCGAAAACTTTCTTATGTAGCTAATATTAAATTTGACTGTATTAAATTCAGAAAATATTCCTCTTCCGTATTCCGTAACAAGAATGGGGAATTGCTATTTGAAAACAATATCGGTGACGTCATAACTCGTTCAAAAATGCGCAACAGACCAAATTAATAATAGAGGAAAACGTTTAAGTTTTCATTTAAATAAAAAATCATTTTATAATTGTAAAAATAAAAAGATTTTGATATGTTGGACTTTAGTAACTCTACTATTATCACAATTTTCTCTTTTTATTCCACGCTTTATTTAAACATTAATTTGAATATTTATATTTTATTGTTCATCTACGTTTAAAGGAAATTATAATTCATTAATGTATAATAAGAAAAAAATACCTGCAATTTAAATGAGTTAAAGAATAGTACACCCAATTAAAATAAACATTTTAAATCATGTTTTATAACAACGTTTTTCTTATCGTCACTACATAATTAACCATTTACTTTTTTTTTGTTATACCTTAAAAATATACCTATAGTTGAGGTATTTGAATATGCTTATTTTAGTTTAGTTTCAGGTTACATGGTCACTAATTTTTATATGTATTGTCACTACATATAAAATTTACATAACCTGTTTTTAAATCTTGTCTTTATCCTCATCGTCTGCCTACTGCTTTTAAAACGTTTTCTGTGCTTGTTCGAACCTAAAGCTTCAAGTTAAATTTAAGAAAACTAAGTAGATATAAAGTATGATGAAAGACAGAGTTATTTGTTTACCAAATGATAACCAATTGAAACAAATTAAGGAGGAATTGGGCGAGACTAGCGAAAGACTCAAAAATCGTATTCAATTAATTAACGAATGGTTAAAATATCAAAATCATTTACCAAACGAAATTAGTAAGTATTTGTTTTTATTTTGAATTAATCGTTTCAAGCATAAATTGTAGATGAAAAACTACTTGAAAATTTTATTCGTTTATGCAAATTCGACATCGGAAAAATCAAGAAAAAATTAGACCTCTATTTTATTTCGAGAGAAAAGTTTAAACTGTTTTATGAAAATCGCGAAATGCCAAGAGAATATTTACAAAAATTTTATATTTCAAAGTAAGATTTTTACTAATCAGAGTTACCTGTTTAAATTAATAATATTTTTGAAGATTTATGTGTTATTTGCCAAGCTTAACGGAAAACGGAATTGGTTACAGAATGGTTTTAGTTCAGTCCAAAGATATTGAAGATTTAAATTTTAATTCAGTTTTAAAATACGGAACGATTTTATGTAAGATTTTAAATATTATTAACATTAATAAAAATATTTTTTTATAGTCGACTATTTATTACACGAAGATTTAAGTTCTGGCGTGGTAATAATCTACGATTTTAAAAACGTAACCGCTTCCTTAATGGCTAAAGTAGACTTAGGGCTGCATTCAGAGACGATTCTACATCATGTAGATTCTACAATTGTAGACCGAGAATCTGTTCGGACGAGCTCGGCATCCAGGCGATCGACGTCGTCTCGACTCACGCCAGGTGCATAGCAATGAATCTATCGCACTTTAAGAAAGTGTTTGTATGTTTGGTTTATTTTTCGTAATGAGCAAAAATTATAATTAAAAAAAATTGTTTTGGTTTTAAAACCATATTTTTTATTATGTTATTAATATTAACGGCAGAATATTTTTATTATACTTTTCGTTTAAAATTTTACATTTCATGGGTATTAGAATAATATGTAGGAACACATATTTAATAAAACAGATAAGAAACCGAAGATTCTATCCTTCACAATTTATTTATTTACATATTTGTTTTAATTCTGTATATCGGGTATCAATATTATTGATGTAAGAATACTCCTCAAAATTACAGGTAAGTACTCAAACAACACAAAAATAATGTTATTAAAAAAAAAGTTGGAAAAAAATATATTAAAAGTTGATCTTTATACAGGTGTCTCAGCGAGACCGGTCATTAGACGTTTCTGGGGTTCTGGCCAAACAAAAAATTTGAGAATGCAGACTTAAGTATTATCAATTACGTTCTCTTCATCTAAAATATTTTCAGATTTCTAGCGCTTCCGGTTGATAATATTTAAGTCTGAATTCTCAAATTTTTATTTTCGCCAGAACCCAGAAACGTCTAATGACCGGTCTCGCTGAGACACCCTGTATATGTGTTCGATGAACTCGTTAAAATCGTCGTCTTAATAATAAAAAAAACTCAAAAAATATAAATAGCACCTGCACTACAAAAACAAAAAATTATTAAAAGTAATAGTAAACACCTAAAAATAAATAAAAGAAATCCAATATGAAAAATACCTACACTACAAAACAGTAAAAATTAATAAAAATTAATATTAATTACTTTACAAAAGTGGAAATAAAACAAAGAAATAACAATAGGCTACACTACGAAAATACAAAAATAATTAAAATTACACTAAACTTTAAAAAACAAAAATATATATGTATATACCGAATATAATAATGAAAACAAAGTACCTACTGTACAAATAGAAAAAATAACGCTAATACTGAACACTTATTACAACAAAACCACAAACATTATCGAAAAACTACAAGATATACAGAATTAAAACAAATATGTAAATAAATAAATTGTGAAGGATAGAATCTTCGGTTTCTTATCTGTTTTATTAAATATGTGTTCCCACATATTATTCTAATACCCATGGAGTGTTAAATTTAAACAAAAAGTATAATAAAAATTAAAATATTCTGCTGTTAATACTAATAACATAATAAAAAATATAGTTTTAAAAGTAAAATGTTTTTTTTTAATTATAATTTTTTTCTCATTTCGAAAAATGAACGAAACATACGAACGCTTTCTTTAAAGTGTGATAGATTCATTGCTATCAATTGCTGTACGCCTCGCGTGAGTCGAGACGACGTCGATCGCCCAGATGCCGAGCTCGTCCGAACTGATTCTTGGTCTACAATTGTAGAATCTACATGATGTAGAATCGTCTCTGAATGCGGCCCTTAATTGCTATGCATAATTACATTAAAATGTACGTTGATGTTTTACCATTTCGGATGAGAAGCATTCATATCTTAAATCTCCACCCAATAGCAATGCCAGCGGTCACTATTTTAAAAGCGATTTTAGCTCAAAAATTAAAAGAAAGAGTGAGTTTTTATTTTTGAATAGAATAACTTAATATAAAATTGTATTAATTAGCTTATGGTACACAAGAATTTTGAAGATTTCTACAAAGAAATCCCTAAAAATCTCCTTCCGGTTGAAATAGGAGGTACAAATAGCACGCTGGAGGAATTATCGGCAAATTGGGAGATTTTGATCACCGAAAACTCGAAATTAAAGACAAAATTGGAAGCAATTAAGTTATGTGGGGTCGTTCCAAATCAAGAAGACTATTTCAAATCGTACGAGTACGGTATTGATGGTAGCTTCCGACAATTAGAAATTGATTAAGAACAGAAATGTATAGTAAAAACTGAAATTTTGATTTATTTAATACTTGTTAGTGTGTTGTCATTTTTTTTGATTATATTATATTAAAAACGTTTAAGACAAGATAATAAAATGATCTCTCCCTCAAATCGGCACACTTCAGCATATGATCCAATTTTTCACATCTCTATTTCTATTCTCCAACCCCTTCTTCTTTGTAGTTCCTCTGTTGAATATTTATTTATTTATTTACAATTTATGGGTACAGAAACAGGACAAACCCAAATGATCTGTACCACAAAAAAAATTTACAATAAAAAAAAGAATACGTGTACCAACGAAAAATGTATAAACCAAAAAATAAAAATTATCTAAATTAAGGCGAGCAATAAAAATAAAATTAAACATGAAATGAAACTTAAACTAAAAACATCGGAAATTCAAATATTAATATATATATACAAAAAAAGATAAAATAAAATAAAACAATAATAATAATACAATAAAGCAAAAAAAAAGTAAAGTAAAGTAAAACAATGCCCAATACTAATTAGGCATTGTTTCATTTAACAGTAACGGCGAAATTAAACATTACACAAAAACAGAACCAACGAGCTAGCAAAACGTAGGAGGCAATTCGTTGACTGCATTAAAAAGTAAGCGCCTAAACGTAAATGAATGCTGAAACAAATCAATATTGAGCTTATCGGTCTGGCGAGCCATTCGCAACATAGGAGAGTTTCGAAAAGCGTTGGTGCGCGGAATAGGGGTACAGAACAAGAAATTAAATCGAAGAAGACGGGGAGGTACATGAATATTGACCGAATTCAAAAGAACTGTGGAATCACACATATTGTCCCAGTAAACAAGAAACATCTGTGAAACATTTCAATTTTAACGTACAATGAATTAAATGAAACATTTTACAACTACGTTTCATATACGTAACAGATACGATTGTTACGAAACGTATCTAAAGATATGTATCAAGTACATTTCAGTAGGAATATTTATGAAATATCATTAAAATATGTAGCAGAAATATTTCATTTGAAACATTTCTCTACAAATGTGTCTGAAACATGTCTCAATATCTTCATCAGCTCCTGTGAACGTATGCGCATGTTCCAGGACGCGGTGACTCATCAGCGTCTTGTCACGACTTGTTCTATTGTGTGTTTTGTTCTGTTCAGTGCTGTTCTCAGTTCCTTCGAATCGTTTTCTATATATCTGTTCTGTGGCTCGAATATTGGTTTAGAATGGCGCAGGTAAGTTTTGTATAAGTTTTTTTATATATCACCACTAGGTTTAGTTATTTTTAAATTTATCTAAAAACATTCTTGTTTAAAATGGTGACTTAAATCTTGTGATTGAATTTAACCGAAAAATATTATATTGACATAAAGTTATTCCTTAACCAACACGATGTATTCGCTGCGACGGCGATTGTTACGATTGATAATGTTGTCGCCAAGTCGACACGGCGGCAAATGAACATGCACAAACGTGCCCAAACCGACTTTTTCAACTGTCAGGTGACAACGACAAAAACCGTGGGTGTAGCGATACTTTCGCGTCGGTCTGGGTATGTTCATTTGCCGCGGCTCCGTGTTGACCTGGCGACAACGTCATGCGAAACAATCGCCGTTACAGCGAATAAATCGCGTTGGTTAAGGAGGAGTTTAAAACTTTTTCCATGACCGAATTCTAATTTAAACATACATTTTAGTGGCAGTTAGGAAGAGCTTCCATTTAACTGATAAAGAATATGAAGTGGTAGTAAGCAATTGGTTACGACAAGCGAATTTACGTTATAATAGGCGAAATAAGGAAACCGCAGATGAGATAATAAAGAATATTGTTATTTTCTTTTAGTATTCTTTCTTTCGTTTACTCGTCGCAATACTGAAAACGTAGTGCAAGAATCGCATCTCAAATATGAAACAAATTTAAAAATTTTGTGTTGCCATTTCTCCATATATGTATATTTTATGTAGTTTTGTACTTTTATGTTTTAGTTTTATGTAGGTTATTTAAATTTTAGTTAAATTTCTTAGTCTTGAACAATCATAAAAAGATGATGAAAGAGATCCCCAGCTTCTTCAGACTACAAGTAAAGAAGACCTATTTATTTTGTAAAAGTCTTATTGTTATAAGTGAGACCACATGTTGTAAAATTCTTTTTATCAAGAAAAATAAACAATTCCACGACTGTTGTACATCGTTTGTGGTACATTACTTGTTTTATTGTATTATCTGACATGTAAATTGTCATGTAACTGTTTTTGTAAGTTATTTTGTAATACTGATAGTTTCTCTTCATAAAAAGAATTTTACAACATGTGATATCTCCAATAACTAAGATAAAAAAAAATGTTAAATATATTATTATAATTATTATTATTAAATATATTATAGGTATTCTTTATTTGTAGTCTGAAGAAGCTGGGGATCTCTGGCGAAACATCACAAATATATGTGTATTAATTGAAACAATGTTTCGTTTGAGAAAAAAAAATTCTTTCGGTTATTCATATATAAACAGAAGTAAAAATAATTAAAAATTCCACTAATATGATCTAAATTTAACTTTATATTTAAATGACCTACATAAATTATTGGAATGTTTCAATGGAATTTTTTAAATTCGGTCAATATAAATAAGGTATTGGGGATTCCAAACTACAGTGCAAAAATTAAGAATACTGTAAACATATGCGAAATATAAATTTTTAATAGCATCAACGCTTACAAAGGAAGAGGTGAATCTTATAATGAAACCAAGCATACGCCAAGCCTTATTAACAGTAGTGTTAATGTGCTGTGTGTAGAGAAGCTTGGAATCGAGAGTCACTCCAAGGTCTCTAATAAAGGAAACACGTGTTAAATTTTCGCCAGCGATGTTGTAATCGCTGGCGTAATAATAATGAACAGTATTCTTCCAACTCGAAAAAGAAATAACATTACATTTAGACAGATTTAGGGTCAAGTGGTTTTTAGTGCAAAAGTCAGAAATCCTGAGAAGGTCAGTCTGCATTCTAGAGCAGTCCATCGGAGAGAAGATACGCAGATAAAGCTTGAGATCATCTGCGTACATTAGACATTCACAATGCTTCACAAACCTTGAAAATATCGTTAACATAAAGATTAAATAGCAAGGGTCCGAGGTGGCTACCTTGAGGGACACCCGAGGGAACTGACATAGGGTCAGAGCAATATCCGTTAACAGACACAATCTGGCTCCTACCTCGCAAATATGAATCAAACCAGCGAAACAACCCACCATGAACACCATAACAATGAAGTTTTGATAAAAGAAGGCTGTGATCCACACGATCAAAAGCCTTGCTAAAATCGGTGTAAACAGGATCAACTTGACAATAGTGGTCAAATGCTCTCCACTGACCGATTCGCAAAAAAACCATGTTGTCTGGGATCGATTTATGGATTTAAGGCTAAAGAAGAGTCTGGTATAAACCAGTTCCTCTAAAACCTTACCAAACACAGACAATATAGATATTGTGCGATAGTTAGATATAAGGTTACGACTACCGGATTTGAAAACGGGCAAAATATATGCACGTTTCCAAAAGGCAGGAAACGTACCTTCATTTACAGATTTGTTAAATAAGATGGAAAGTGGTAGAGAAAGAGATTCAAAACATGATTTTATTAGGATAGGAGGAATACCATCAGTGCCTGGACCCTTATTTATGTTTAAAGCAATAAGTGCTTCCTCAATCTCAGGCCGCTCAAAGCGCATCGGACCCAAACATGTAGTATCATTAAGGTCAGCATTAGCAGAGTGAAGTGAATTAATTGAATTAACAGAGGGAGGGACATACACCGAAGAGAAATATGTTGCGAATAGCGAGCAGACACCCTTACCGTCCTCGGCAACAGCCCCATTTAATATCATAAGTGTAGGAATTGTATCCGCACCTTTCTTGTTTTTAATATAAGACCAAAAGTATTTAGGATTAGCTTTAATACTGCTCTCGACACCACCAACATACTTCCCATAGTCGCGCCGAATGAGAAACTTGGAACGCCCTCGCAATAATGAAAAATTCAAATAATCTATTTGTTTTCCATACCGTTTCCACTTAGCATGAGCTCTTCGCTTTTCTCTGATCACTCTGATAGTATCTCGCGAAAACCACATCGGAAAACCACTAGTGAATTTGCGCTTGATCGGAGTAAATTTTTGAATGGCAAAATTTAAATGGTAATAAAAGAAATCAACAGCAGGGTCTACTTCACGAGTATTTAGTTCTGTATCCGAGTTAATACTAGACAGGTACGAATCAATGTCAGAGAAATTAGCACGTCTGAAGTTAAACACGTTAGAAGATTCAGTAGGAAGACGGTGTGGCATTTCAAACGAGTAAAACAATTCTAAAGTGTTGTGAGCACTATCTTCAGGGATTAGAGGATGAGTGCTTAATGAAATAGAAGATATATTAGAAAAATTAGCAAAAATTAAGTCGAAAGTGTTCTGAAAGGCATTCCTGTGAAAATTGAATTGGTTGAGACCACATAAGGCGAGGGCATCCAGAAACTCACTCGAACGAGCAGAAGAAGTGGAGGCACCGGTTGCAAGATCGGCCGACCACCGAATTTCAGCTAGGTTAAAATCGCCACAAATCAAAAATTTGTCATTAGGATGGCCTTCAATGATTAAATTAATTTCATTAATAAAATTAAGCAATGCATTTTGATCAGAAGGAGGAATATAAACGCAGCAAATGTGTAAAGTAATAGAACCGGTCCGTAGAGTAACACACACTGCCTCAAGGTCCACAAATCATGTTGATTGCGGAAGGACAGACAGGGAAGATGCTACTCAATCAAAACGCCACCACCACGTTTATAATATTATATCAGCACAATATCCTATGCTGATTAAGAAGTAAAGTTGGAAAAATCCATTTTATATATTACATTTATATGTAAATAAGGTTTAAATAAAATATTTTTTTTGTACTGTCACTGGTTTATTTTGTTATATTTTTGTCTAACTAGTTTCGCCCTAAGGGCATTCTCAGAGACTTCAAAAATATCGATATTTAACATTAGCAAATTTATCAAACATTATTCAATTAATGCATCGTAAAAAAGTATAGATTAACTTACAAAAGTACTTACT